CCTTCTTGGTAGTGGTGCCCACCCTGTGGAACACCCTCCCTTCAGATGTGAGGGAAATAAGCAGCTATCCTATCTTTAAAAGACATCTGAAGACAGCCCTGTTCAGGGAAGTTTTTAATATTTTACACTGTACTGTTTTTAACACTTGATTGGGAGCTGCCCAGAGTGGCTGGGGAAACTCAGCCAGATGGGCGGGGTATAAATAATATATTATTATTATTATTATTATTATTATTATTATTTATCTTTTAATACATTTATGCCTTGAACCAGCTTAGTGATGTTTTCCTTCAGCTTGAGTAAGAACTGGAGCCGGCAAACCAAGTTCTTTCCGCAGAAAAAATCACAATGCAACTCTCTCCCCACCCCAAGCCCAACTCAAAAACCCCCCCAGACTCTGACTGCACCACCACTTCTTTCCCCCATTATCTGCCATAAGAACATAAGAAAAACTTGCTGCAAACCCATCTAGTCTAACATTTCTGATCTCACAGTGACCAGCCACCTACATCACCTTCTTACTGCAATCATACCTTCCTGTGTTGAACACATTTGAATGCATTTGGTCAAACACATTTAGAAGCCTCTCTGTGATCAGGAACCCTATGTAGGAACAGCACTTCTGCCTCCATTCTGTGCAGCACACTGAATGTGCACACACTCTACTGAACCCAGGAAGAGGGCTACAGTCTGAGCCTGCAATTTTCTGCTCACTTACCTGGAAGTAAGCCCCACCGAACAGTGGGACATACTTCTAAGCTAACATGTATAGGATTGGGCTCTCTTGTCAGTTAAGTCTATAGCTGAGTTTTTATTTATTTATTGGAATAACTGACCCTGAAGAGTCATAATTTTTGTCCAATTAAATTAAGATGCAACATTCATTAGTAATGACCGGCATCTCCAAGTTAGCACATAGAGGAGTTTTCCATACAGGCAGGGGGAGTGGGGGGTGGGGTGGAAGGAGACATAGAAAGACAGTAATAATGTGTTGCATGCTATCATGCTGGGAAATGCATGACATAATTATGCAGAATTATAATTAGAATAATTAGAAAAGCAGAGACAATCTTACTCTCTCGGTAAGTTTCCTAATCAAACTATCATTTTATTTGTAAATACAGTGAGGCTGCAATCCTAACTCTACTTGCCTGGTAGTAAGTCATTGAATTAAATAGATTTTATTTCTGAGTTTTCGACGTATGGTAACAGCCATTTAAATTGGCTGCAATCTGCAGGATTGTAGCCCAGTTTTTAAGTGCATCACTGGTTTAATCATTGTAGTTATACAGGCTGATGGCAGCAATAGCATTTGTTCAGGATAGATATTGATTATTTCTCCTTTTTCATCTCTATGAATGCAGGGTAAGCTTGAGATCCTGTTACATAAACTAATCGGCCTCCGTCCAGCAAGCATCCGTGTTCACCCCTGTCTTTTTCCTATTCTGTATTTTCATCTTTTTCTTTTCATGGAAAGTTACACTGCTTTTTTTAAAAAATGGGAAAATATGACACAAAACTGATTATATTTTCAAAGAAATAACACATCCGATGCACACATTAGATACTCATAAATTACAATAAGGGGGGGAATCAAGAACAGAATGGAGGGAAACGTTGGGGGAAGATAAAAGAAGCATTGCATATAATTGTTGCAGGAATACAGCATAATATATACTAATATACAATTCAAAGTGTTGGTGCTGATGTTTAAAGCCCTAAACGGCTTTGGCTCTGTGTACCTGAAGGTCCAGCACCAAGGGCCTTCTGGAGGTTCCTTCACTGCAAGAAGTGGTTGCGGGGAACCAGGCAGAAGGCCTTCTCAGTAATGGCGCCCGCCCCATGGAACGCCCTCCCATCAGATGTCAAGGAAATAAACAACTATCTGACTTTTAGAAGACATCTGAAGGCAGCCCTGTTTAGGGAAGTTTGTAATGTTTGATGTTTTATCGTGTTTTTTAACTTCTATTGGTAGCCACCCAGAGTGCCTGGGGAAACCCAGCCAGATGGGCAGGGTAATAATAATAATAATAATAATTAGTCTATAGCAGGGGTAGCCAACATGGTGCCCTCTAGATGCTCTTGGACTCCACTCCCATAGTACAACAACATCTGAGGGCACCACATTTGCCATCCATTGAGCATAGCTGGAATTAGTTCTGAGCAAATATGGGGTTCATGGGATTGCACTCAGGAGCAGCCCAAGGTATTTAGTTGCCTTAGGCAAAGGACAGTGTGGCCTGACTGCACTGGCTGCCATTTAGTTTCCGGGCACAATTCAAAGTGCTGGTTTTGACCTATAAAGCCTCAGATGACTCAGGACTGCAGTACCTCAAGGACCACTTCTCTCCATACTGAACTGACCTGGGCCCTGCACTCATCACCTGAGGCTCTTCTTTGTGTACCTCTTCCACAAGAGAACCGGAGAGTGGCAACATGAGAACAGGCTCTTTCTGTGGTGGCTCCCCATTTGTGGAATGCTCGCCCTAGTGAGGCTTACGTGGTGCCTTCCTAGCATAGATTAACATTCCAGGTGAAAACATTCCTCTATGACCAGGCTGATTAAACAATTTATGGCATTTTAAATGTTTTGTTGTTTTTGTTTGTTTATTGTTATTGTTATTACGTTATGTATATATATAGTAAACCATCCTGTGATGTTTGGATAAAGGATGGTATGTAAATTTAATTGATTGATTGATTATAATAATAATCTGGCACCCATTCCATTTGCAGACTCTGACTGGGCTGGCGGCTGAATCTTAATTCAGCACTAGAAATGGGACAGCACCCTTCACCTTTGCCTGGGAGGCAGTGTGCTAGTTTAGGTGGTTCATGACGAGCTCAATAGTTCTGATCTCCAACAGAGGGGAACATCCATGGAGCTCTGGATAAATAGCTGGTGTGTGGGTGCGCATGCGCATGCGCACACACATGCACATGCACACGCTGCCCTTCAGCATCTGCCTCCTGAGGCAATATCTTTATTCCTCCTTGATTGCACCCTGCATCTTCAAATCTGCCACCTGCATAAAAGATGAAAGATCAACATGAACTAGATATTGGGGAAGGATGGCGGCTGTTTTTGCAATCCATATAGATTCCCCCTCTTCCTCCAAAAAGGTAGGTAGTTCTTCATCAACAATAAATGCTTTTTGAGTAATACACACCTTATCCAAGGCAAGGGAGGCTGTTCCATTAGAGCAAATGGGGCAATGCCCCACCACCCTCAGGCAAGCCCACCTGCTGGCCTACTTACTTAAAACCAGCCCAGGGTGGTAGTACTGCCTATCAGCTTCCTCCTCCTTAGGCCACATTCACACACTATGATGCCACTTTAAGCAGTCGTGGCTCCCACCACCACCACCAAAGAATTCTGGGCTCTATGGTTTGTTAAGGGTGCTATTAGGAGACCCCTATTCTGTTCCCACAGCATCTTAAAAAGCAGAGACATCACCTTGCCAACAAAGGTCCGTATAGTTAAAGCTATGGTTTTCCCAGTAGTGATGTATGGAAGTGAGAGCTGGACCATAAAGAAGGCTGATCGCCGAAGAATTGAAGCTTTTGAATTATGGTGCTGGAGGAGACTCTTGAGAGTCCCATGGACTGCAAGAAGATCAAACCTCTCCATTCTTAAGGAAATCAGCCCTGAGTGCTCACTGAAAGGACAGATTGAGAAGCTGAGGCTCCAATACTTTGGCCACCTCATGAGAAGAGAAGACTCCCTGGAAAAGACCCTGATGTTGGGAAAGATGGAGGGCACAAGGAAAAGGGGACGACAGAGGAAAAGATGGTTGGACAGTGTTCTCGAAGCTACCAGTATGAGTTTGACCAAACTGTGGGAGGCAGTGGAAGACAGGAGTGCCTGGCGTGCTCTGGTCCATGGGGTCACGAAGAGTCGGACACGACTAAATGACTAAACAACAACATTCTGTTCCCAGAGCTACGGTTTCCAGGGCAGTTTGACAATCAATCCCTTTTCACAGGGGCATCTGAGAATTGTAGCTTTGCAAAACATAGGGGTCTCCTGACAACTCTCAGCAGCCTTAACAAACTACAGCTCCCAGAACTCTTTGGAGGAAGTCCTTGTATAACTCAGCCATGAGGCAAAAGTGGTCAAATTAGATTTAGTTAGCTCAGACTGACATTGGCTCCACCTGCCTTCTTCCTTGCCAGTCCCAATGAGCACCGATCACTACTGAGTGAAGGAGCTGTCCTACTTATAGTTGTTTTAAAACAGGCAGTTGAGGCTGGAGTACGAAACATAGTTACCTGGGAGTAAGCCCCACTGACCTCAGTAAGACATTTTAAAGTATGCATGCCTAGGCTTTCACTGTAAATATCCCTTTGTACCTAAATAGTCCTTACACAACATATCTGTGTGGAGGGTGTGTGTGCAGACCTTGCAAGAACTTAAGAATAACCAGTGTCACAAAGGTCAAAGCGGATATTAAGAGGCTAAGTCTTCTCAGAAACATTACACAAGTTTTCCAATGGGTTAGATAAGGTAACTCTAGATCAACTCTATTCACACTGTTCAATTAAGCAAAGATTAGTGTGCATTCAGCTTTAGTTCAACACAAAAATATGCTTCCATTAGGTAGTCTGACAGATAAACCATGTGGTCAAGAACTGTAATAGGAGAATATCTGGCAATTAATGAATAATAAGGCCTCTGTGTATTTATAGTTCTAAAGATGGGCTTGAGTATCTCCACCCATTGTTATGAAGTCCTTTCCTAGTTAGACTTCAAAATGTTCTATGAATAACTGGCCTTAAAGGCAGGTGAAGAGGGGGAATAAAAAAATAATGTAATAGGTAATATTAAGCTTTTGGGGTTTGTTAAAATAAACTCATACTAGGAAGGTTGCCATTTGGTTGCTACTCTTATAGAAGCTATGTAGTTGTACTCTGTGCACCCAGGGATTTATTCATTCATTTATTTCAATGAAGGAAGAAAGGAAGGAGAGAAATGACAAAACAAAGTTCCATTCTGGCCTTTAAAAAAAAAAAATTCTGCCTCTTTCTCTGTTTGCTTCCCTTTCTCCCCATTTTTATAAACATTAGGGTATGCCTGGGCACACCTCTTGTGCACGCCTATGACACCATGACATTTTCTTTCAGTTGCTTCTCATTTTCTGCAATGATAAGCCATGAATGATCTTAACAAGACTTGATACATCTATCAGTTTTCAGAGGCATGGATACCCATTGTGAAAACTGCCCGAGTCTCAAATGATAAACACTTCACGCTGGGGCAATTCTTTCTTTCCTGAAAAAAAGAAAAGAAGGTGTGATATGAAATGTTGTGATATTATATGACAATGTTCTTCCCACAAACCAGCACAAACTGTTCCTAGTAGTGTAATGGTTGGGGGCAGAAAAAACGGAATTCAAGCACACTTTGTATTTTTCAAAGCTGTAAAAAAAAGTCTTGGGAAACTTATGTTAAAAAGGTAAGATAGGAGAGTATTTAGCCTATAGAAAATTCAGGTGTAAGGAGTATGAGATTTCCATTAAGAAAGCATAAAATCAGGGGTCAGCAAACCTTTTCAGCAGGGGGCCGGTCCACTGTCCCTCAGACCTTGTGGCGGGCGGGACTATATTTTTTTGGGGGGCGGGGGGGAGATGGCTATGTTTGTTCCTTTTGTTAGGAAGTTGGGGGGAGGAGTGTTATGTATTGGGGTTTAACACATTTTATGTTACAAGGCGCGTTCTAACCAATCGTATAAGCATTGGTAGACGAATCTTCTAATGGCAAGTAAGCGCATGCACTTTCAACTGTCAACGGTCAGTTCACGCTCGGCTTTATTATTGTGTTGTCCAGTCAGTTCGGTTCTTGTTTTCCTATGAGTGAGCTGTTGTCACTGACAAATGTTAAAAAACGTAGTTGAGGAACCTATACTGCCTGGGCTTCTGACTTTTTCCGAACATTTAACATTGACGACGAAGGTGGGATTGATGATCTCCTGCCGGCTGCCAGAGGCCCAAGACCGCACCGCAGCACGATTATACGATTGGTTAGAACGCGCCTTGTAACATAAAATGTGTTAAACCCAAAACATAACAGCTCTAAAAAGCAGCTTCTCAAAGGAAATGTTTTACTCAAAAATAATTCTCAATATCCAAACTTGCAACTAATAAACAAACACGTCAGTGCCACTCATCCTGTATTTTCATTTACTGCCATCTGTTGTTGTCAAGAGTCATTCTATTTGTCCTCTGCTAGAAAGCTCCAGCAAGCAGATTACCAGCGATTCAACAGAGAGAACAATGGGAAATGCTGCTAGAACGAGCATCTAAGCATTATCAGTAATTCAGTGTATTCACATTACAGCGGCAGCCAGGAGTTCTGCCAGGAAGGAGAGGCACTGAGATCTGCAGGTACCATAATATGCACACAAACCACTTACAGCAATTCTGCTACCCCCCCCCCCCAATTTATTGAGACCCAAATAAAGCTTAAACTGTGCTTAAAAGTAAACTTTAGCAGAGCCGGAAAAGACTCTTGAGGAGGCTCTGTTTAAGTGGACAACACTGGGCTACATCAGCCAATGGCCTGACTCAGTGTAAGGTGACTTCACCTGTACGAAATGGCTTCCCAGCATGCAGTTTGCCCAAACATCTAGTCTATCTTTGTTCTCACTGCTGATAATGTAGATACTGATGAAGATACAACAAAGGGAAGCTTGCTCATATCAGACAAAGTGTGTTCTCCTTCATGAAGAGCACGTGTTGCAGTGGGGGCTGACAGGACGCTCCAAAGTTGTGGGGCGGGTGAATTGATCAGTGGCCACTGTTGTGACTGGGCTTCCCTTGTTGTTGGGAAGATGTTAATGTTGCAATTTGATGATTGACAGCCAGAAATGTTAAAACTCCCTACACGAGGCGTAGAGCTTCCTCTTTTCGCTCCGTGGATCGGATTACCCGCCCCCCCCTATATTTAGGGTTGTTCACTTTGATCTTGCTATGCCTGTCATGGGGTCATCTGCTCTTGGGGCAGGGGCCCAGTAGGAATTTTGTCCATCTGGCTGATTGGCTGGGGCCATTTGGTTTTTGCCTACTGCGTAGCAAATCGTCACAACTTGTAAGGTTGTGGTTAGGCATTGGTTTATGGTTTGGTTGGTTGAGGGGCATGGATTGGCTGTCCCTGCCCCTCTAGTGCTGCTGCTGCAAGGGATTCCGTTAAAGGAATACAGTGGCTCACTATTGCTTTTGTCTGAACCCTGTCAAGGGGGCTAGGGCCATTGCAAGAGCTCCTGGTTGCATTTGGGGAGGGCTGAGGGCAGGTTCCCTGCTCCGTCGCTACCCCCAAATGTATTCCCCTTTTCTGACTTTCGCAGGCTTGCGAAATGTCAGTCTGTCCCCCACTGGGGGGCAGATAGTCGCAACCAATGCCTAAGCAACCACTCACATTTTTTGTATTTTAATAAAGTTGTGGCCAAAATTATGCCAAAAACCTTAAACAAAAATTCTCTGTGTTATGTGAGTTATTTGGGGTGGCTTGGGGACCTTGACACACTAATGTTTGTGGGTGGCTTTTATACGTCGTTCCAATAGCAACATCCCAAATAATGGAATTTGCTTCCCCTATGGAAACAAATTCTTCCCATGGGCTAGATGGGCTTTTTTGCTTGATCCAGCAGGGATGCTCTTAACACGTTTCTGTAAAATGACTCCAGCTTTTTTTAAAAAAACCACATCCATTAAAGGAGTAGATTCACTATTATGTGGAGTGGCACAGATAGCTATGGGGACACTGTGGCAAGTGGGGTGGGCAATGTCTCTGGAGCGGAAGAATTGCACACTGAGAAATAATGCCTTATAATCTCGGATTTGCTATGTCCTAAAGTGGGACGTGGATGACCTATAAGGCAGAGGCTGTAGGGTTTGAGGGGACACTACATTCCTGTTTGCCTTGAGAAGTAAAAAAAAAGAGAAATAAATCAAAAATCTGCCAACCCCATTTTGCTTGTTTCATTTATTTGGCCTTGAAGGGATTCCACCTGCCTCTGTAAACCACAGAGATGACAATCAAAGAAGAAGGGGACAGGAAAGCAGGAACTTGGAGTTTTGAAGCCCAAAGTGATGGGGAAAGCAAAATAGGCATGCTAAGATTATTATCTTTCCCCCGAACTCAAATGTACCTGTTACATAACTGACCTACCTGTAAAATCAGTGCACGGCTTCTTGAGTTATATTCTGCTAGAGAATGTAGAATGTGGTTGGGGGTTTTTTTAACAGCCTTGATTTCAAGAGATGGAGAGGATGCACATATACGGGAAGTGTGATGTCTGCGGAAATAAAAAAATTATGTTGTCATTGTACAGGTTGTTTGGATTTAAATCTTTGCAGCTCCGCTAATGACCGTTTGCAGCAGCCGGGCTGCCTAACTGCATAAGCCACCTGCAGTTTAATATATCAAAGAAATGTAGCAAAGAGCTGCTAAGATTGCCATAAGGCTTATTGTCAACAATCTTCATAGATAGATCTCTGGCACATGCTCCCTTTCTGTAGGACAAACCTGAGAACAAAATGAGTCGACCTTATTCACAAATGGTAAACAACAAACAGTCTGACGCTGTAGTTTGTAAGCCTCCACCCCACAGTTATTTTCTGAACTGCTATGCTAACAGGGAATATTCAGACACACTCACACTTCAGAGAGTGAAACAGAGCTGGCCTGCCCATCAGGTAATCTGAAATAGCAGCCTCAGGCAGTGGAATCTTGTGAGGTTTTGCCCCGCTCACCTCTGCAGCCACTGGGATTGAATGGTGGCTGTTTCTTCCAGCAAGTTCTCATGAGATCTCTAGGAGATCTTGTTGGAAGAAGTCACTGCTGCTCAACTCCAGTAAGCAAGGCTTCAGTGGTGGTGTTTTGCCTCAGGCAGCGAAACAGAACAGGGCGCCCCTGGGGTGAATATATGTATGAACAAGCCAATGCTGACAAATAGTTCAGCTTCAGTGTGGGAACTGAACTGGTCAGTTCGGATGGGAAATAAACTTCACAGTCTAGGGGCAGGATGCTCTGAAGGTGGTAACCAAGGCACGGCCGTCTTACTACTCTGCCCCCCGATACAAGCATACTACAGTGTGTTCGTCACAGAGGTTCAGATAAATTTACACTTGCATCTTAGTTTACGTCAAGGCCCACCAGTTTTTACACACAACCTGCTACTAACAACTGTGAACGGAGGTGGCATTGCCTGCACTCCAGCACGCAAATGTGCTGTTTATTTTCCTTCTTCGCACTTAATATCTTCTCCCCTCCCTCCACGTACAGTATTTTGTATCTCGTAAAAGGGGAACAAACTTTCCTGTCATTGGTCTTTTAAAAAATTAATTGTCATTTTAAACTTTAACAAAAACAGACGGGGGAATAATTGAAGAAATAAAATAATAATTTGAATTTTAAAAATGAAACAATAATTTATTAATAATGTTAATAGTAACCAAACACACTCTCTCACACATCCAATCAGGTCACAGCATGGATACAGTAGCCATCAATAAATGCATCTTAAGCTAAACACTGAATTTAATATAAACCTACGTATCCACATGAAACTGACATCCGTCTGAAATATGTTAGAATGTAGAAAGAGCAGTGTGCCTCTCAGAGTATTGCATAATAGATGGTGGATATTTATCCTTCAAGGCTTAAAGTGTAAGTCTGTTAGCAACCACAAGGGCTCACCAAGTCCACTTTTGCTATCCTGCTATTAATCCCCATACTTCAGGAATACGATTTAAAAGTTCCTGAACCTCTGCAAGGGTTTTTTTTGCCAATGCAAAAGTGATGTGAATAGCAACTTTAGGCCAAAAATAATATATCACTATACAAGCCTGTCATTGGCCTTGAAAAGTCTTGCTCTGCACTTCTTGCTTCTCGTTAACCCCAAGCTTTCTGGAAGAAAATTGCAGCGCAAATGTAATAATAAAGTAATGCATAATAACAAAATAAACGCCCCCCAATTGTTGTTTTCTCAATTTTGTTAAAAAGAACAGTTACATTTGTACCACCACACATTCTCTCTGAGGTGTTCATACAAAGGATATTGTAACATCACAATATCACTGCATCCTGTGATCTAGCTCTCAAGCCAACAGCTTTGTATCTGGCATTGCTCAGGAATTCTGAGAAACCCAAAGGATCAGTGCAGTTTTGAAATTGCAGTCAACACTACAAACCGGGTGTGAGGAACGTGTTATTTGGCAGCTGGTGCTGGTTCTGTAATTTTATCTAGGTTATCATTTCTCACACCTACACAGGAGTCTTACCAAACGCTTGCACTCAAACCTTTCAGTTAATTGCAAATAATTCTAATCCTATTTTGTTTTGATAAGTAAGCGTGTCTGAGAATCTCTCATCAGCTGGTTTATTTTTCACAGAGAATCAGCAAGCCTCAGTGATATATTTTAATCATGCATTCATGCATTTTCTTAACAAGGAAGCAACTGCTGAGGTAACTTAGAGGCAGTATTTTAAATACTTGACTGAAGCTAGAGCTCATGGGAGGTGAAGGTTAAATATCAGAATGTCTGGAGTTCGTTTTCTCTAAACAGCGAGGCAGTTCATTCCTCAGGGGAAAGGGACAAGTTTCCTCTTGAGAGATGCTCATACAAGTAGTATGCATGGAACGGCCCTCACCATTGCCAGGACTAGAGAAGCCTAATTTCTGGATTAGGGCATTGACTTGTGACTCTGAACCCCATCAGAACCTATAGAACCGCATCAATACCTATAAAAGTCATTAACATATTGGGACTATTCTTTTGTAACATGGGATATTGTGCTTATGAGTGCCACAATTTACTGCTGCCCTGTCCCCATTCAGATTGCTTCCCTTTGTGATCATTCTATTGCCAACTGTAATGTAAGATTAACAAAGACTTCTCCTTTTCAGCAAAGATAATATAAAAGAATGGGGATGATTTGAAATTGTGTCTGCCGCAGATGGTAATCAGGGAGACATAACTACTTTACAGCGATGGAATTGCCGTCTTTGACTGTAATGTTGGATCAGAATGAAATCGACATTCAGATGCTGAAATCTTGTTGACAGCTCAGAGAATATTTGTTCAAAATTCATCTGCCGCCTTACAGATATTCCTAACTGTTCTAGGGACTCTTGGAGCTAAGGCAGAGAGAGAGAGTGAAAACAGCCTCATGACTCTTTGCATTCAGGGGAAAAACACCTTTTGGTTTAGAAAGCTTTAGAGATGGATTTGACGTGTTTACACCACTTTTACAGTACTGCCTCTCTAGATAAAAACATGCCTACATAAAATGGGCTGGTGTATTACAGAGCTAAACCACAGTGTTCACTTCACTTTCTCTGCATTCTTCCAAAGAGCTGGGTGCGGACACACCATACATTTAAAGCACATGGGTTCCCACAAAGAATTGTGGGAATTCTAGTTTACCCAAACATGGAGAACAATTCCCAGCACCAACAAACTACAGTTCCTATGATTCTTGGGGTGGGGGGAGAAACCATGTATTTCAAATACACTTTAAATGTGTGGCATGTACGCTGAACACATGAAGCTGGTGTTACTATATACTAAGCTAGACCATTAGCAGACCCGAGTGTCCAATCGTCCTGATTTTCCAGGGAAAGTCCTGAAAGTACAGTAGCTGTACTGGTTTCTGATTGGATCCCAGAATGTCCTGCTTTCCCTTTTTCCTCTCCTCCATGCCTTGGAAAACAATTAAATGTGTTGTGTGTAGGTGCAAAAATGGAGTCCTGTTTCTATGGAAAATAAAATATTTGTACCCAATGAAGGAAATGGTGAAGCTGTCATATGAAGCCTGTCCTATAATTTTGAAGGAAAAGGTTAATGCAGAGGGAGATGGACCAATGATTTGGCCCACCATAAGGCATCTCCCTATATTCCTATAGAACAGTACTGGGAGCGGGGAGGGTAAGAGAGAAATTCAGTTTGGTTTGCTTACTAACTTGCCCTTTGCAGAACAACAGGGGAACCAAAACACAGCTATCCTTTGAAATTCACAATTTGCACTGCAGTTTCCTGGCCAGCAAGAGAGCACAAAAGTATGTATATTAAGAGAAGTGTGCAGAAAATGTGTATATTTGTGAAAACAACTTGCAAAAAGGCATTCTATAAGGGTAGACAGGTGTATATTAGGCACCATTGCATACACACAAATACGTATTATGCACTAAAATGCTGACAAACTTTTATGAGAATTTATTTTTTCTTCCCGGTGAAAAGAAAGAGCAAACTGACGCAGAAATGCAGCAAGCCAAACTTCGCGTTGGAAAAATGACTAAACTGAGAGGAACCAAAATTGACAGATCCATCCATCCCTAATAGCAGCCATGTACTACCCTACCCTCTAATTGCTGTGTTACATCGGCTGCTCCATTGCACGACACACAGAGAGCAGTTTTTACTGCAGCGCTTAATGGTTAATCAATGGGTACTGTCGCTTCAAAGGCATCGGATAAATCGCAGACGGTGCCCTCTGGGAGCGTTACGTTAACAGGGAGCAAATGGTTGCTGAATGCAGCTCAGTCTGCCAACTGCGGGCAGCTTTGGAAAGTTTGCTTTAGTTAATTAATTAAATTAATTAATGTGTTACACAATGAGAAACGTCTCCGACACCTCGCTGTGTCGCTTCCAGCAGATCCTGGAATGAGCTGGTTATATCTCATCCCCCGCAATAGCATTTGTAGTTTTGGGATAGGTGGGTTGTTTTGGGGATGTTTTTAAAAGCACTGTTTCGTTTTGATCCTTCAGCAGTCCCAGTCGCTACTTCAAAAAGCAGGTCAGCTGTGAGCTCACTGAATTGCCTTACGCAAGATGTTTAATCTTATCCACCCACTTGTTATGTGTGTATGTGTGAACCGTCATACATGTCCAATCCGTGTGAGGACCTCAGTAAGAAGCAAGTGTGCGTTGTTTTAAATGTGTGTTTATTCTAACCCTTATACCCAGTAAAGAACAACTCACACCGAGAGCTAGGGAAAGATTGGTTTATTGCAAGGGAAGGAAAACATGCATGCTACGAAGAAGAAGAAGAAGAAGAAGAAGAAGAAGAAGAAGGGGGAGGGGGAGGAGGAGGAGTTTGGATTTGATATCCTGCTTTATCATTACTCTAGTCTCAAAGCCGCTAACATTCTCCTTTCCCTTTCTCCCCCATAACAAACACTCTGTGAAGTGAGTGAGGTTGAGAGTCTTCAGAGAAGTGTGACTAGCCCAAGGTCACCCAGCAGCTGCATGTGGAGGAGTGGGGAAGCGAACCTGGTTCACCAGATTACGGATCTACCGCTCTTAACCACTACACCACACTGGCTCTCGACAGTAAGGTACAATGGCATGTAAATGTACTATGTGAAATGATCTGGAAGCTGCAATTAGCGCAGAATGCTGCAGCTTGATTGCTGACAGGGGCGAGGCCTTGTCAGCATATGACATCTGTGCTCAGAGATCTGCACTAGTTGCCAATTTGCTACTGGGCTGGGTTCAAGGTGTTACTATTAGCATATAAAGCCCTCAACAGCTTGGGACCAGTTTACCTACAGTATCACCTTTACCCCACATGTGCCCATTCAATGGCTTTGAGCGGTGGAATTGGCACTACTACAATTGATGCGTAATGCCCATTCCGAATTTGTAAGAAGTCCATCGTTTACTATGGCAGCACTTACACTTTGGAACTTCCTGCCTCTTGAGATCAAGCTGGAACCTCTTTTTGGGACCTGCTAAAGACATTCTTGTTTAGACAAGTCTGCCCAGATGATTAGAAATTTGAGGTAATTTTAAAATCTGTTTTAGTATTTTAACTTTTGTACGTTTTAAAGTATTGCTGTAGTTTTTTTCTTGGTTTTCTTGTTTTATCTTTGTGTAACCTGCTTTGAGGGTTGTTGTTGTTTTGCAGTCAAGCAGTGTAGGAATCTTATTAAATAATAACAATAATGCTGGCAGCAAATAATCATTGATGCATCGAAACACGCTGCTCTAAAGATAAAATGACCCTTACATCACAGAAATTTATAGAAAGTGAGATTAACGGAGAGTTTATGGAACTCACAAAGAAAAGGGATAGGAGCAAAGATTATATCTTATTCAGCACCAAGGAACTACAGTTCCCAGGATTCTTTTGGGGAAGTCATGTGTTTTAAATGTGCTTTAAATATATGCAGGGCTTTTTCTCCCCTGCCGCAACGCACCAGAGTGCAATTCCGGCAGCTCTTTTGCCCTGTTTCGTACAAGAAGTCTGTTCACCCAGCAAAGGAAATCACCAAGCAGGATTGTGGCTAAAGTGGCCTGAGTGCATGGGAAGTGGCAAGTGGCGAGCCCAGCATCTTGTCACTTAATTTTGGTTTCAAGATGGCAGTAACAGCATCTGGGTTGGCGACTGAGGCAGTGAGTTCCGCCACCATTTTTCCTAGAAAAAAAGCACTGGCTATAGTATATGGTATGAACACAGCCTACATACCATGTTGCTCTGCCTATAGTGATGCCCACTTTGAGAATCAACCCCACTCTAATCTACAAAGTTCAACCCATTCATCTGTATGGCAACAACCCAGGAGAACAGACCCAGCTTTTGGGGTTGTAAGCATTTTCATTTTTAATGATGTTACTTGAGCAGTTAAGAAAATGCTCTGAATATTGCTCGGAACAGCAAAAACAAAGAAAATAATTGGATGAGGAGCTGTGAGTCAATGTCTAGCTGTGGGTTGGTTATACATGAACCGAGAACCATAAACTACGATACTGCCAGGAAATCAATTAAGAGTAGGTTAAAAGAGGCTGACCTGCAATTAGGCATGGAGTGCTTTTTTTAATATATCATTTTCTTGGTGGAACATTATATATATAAACACACTTTCAAATATTTTCTTCATGATTCTGCTTTCTGGTCCTTGAAGAAGGCTTTTGATTCCTGCAGGTTTCTAGTTATTGCCTACTGGGAAGAAAGGCATGTGAAATCCCCCAAATCAGTTTCTTCATGGTCAACTGATAGTTGACTGGGATTTGTAGTATGTGACATGGTGTTAGCTGATTTAGGCTGCAGACACACCATATTAAAATACAGGATGCCCACCAAAGAATCTTGGGAGTGCTAGTATTGGACTATGACCTGGTAGACTAGAGTTCGAATTCCCCCTCAGCCAGGGTGACTTTAGGCCAGTTGCCATCTCTCAGCCTAACCTACCTCACAGGGTTGTTGTCAGGGTAAAATGAGGGAGGAGCAAACCATGTACACCATCTTGAGCTCCTTGGAGGAAAATGCGGCATTTAAATGTAATAAATGGTGGTCAGGGACAACCCTCATGGGTTCAATATATGTTGTTGTTGTTGTTTAGTTGTTTAGTCGTGTCCGTCTTCGTGACCCCATGGACCAGAGCACGCCAGACACTCCTGTCTTCCACTGCCTCCCGCAGTTTGGTCAAACTCATGTTAGTAGCTTCGGGAACACTATCCAACCATCTCGTCCTCTGTTGTCCCCTTCTCCTTGTGCCCTCCATCTTTCCCAACATCAGGGTCTTTTCCAAGGAGTCTTCTCTTCTCATGAGGTGGCCAAAGTATTGGAGCCTCAGCTTCAGGATCTGTCCTTCCAGAGAGCACTCAGGGCTGATTTCCTTAAGAATGGATAGGTTTGATCTTCTTGCAGTCCATGGGACTCTCAAGAGTCTCCTCCAGCACCATAATTCCAAAGCATCAATTCTTCGGCAATCAGCCTTCTTTATGGTCCAGCTCTCACTTCCATACATCACTACTGGGAAAACCATAGCTTTAACTATACGGACCTCTGCTACTTTGAAGCACAGGGTGTTCCATCAATGTAAGGATTCCCACTGGTGTAGTTGAACTGTACCCCACCTCCTTTCCCTCTAAGTCAGTTTTGAGGGGTGGGTTCCCCCAACCCTCCAGAGAAATTTGGGGGGACTGCAGAGTCAGCGCTTGTGGGGAGAAGAGAAAGGGAGAAAGTTCCACCAAGTAAGTGGAAATCCTTGAGCTGATGGCACGAGCTAGCTGGATCCTACCCAACATCTATAGTATTAAGAGATAACGGAGGAAGTAGGGAAATGATTGAAACCCATTTCCTTTCACAATGGTTTGCAACAATAAAAAAAGTGTCTTTGCACTCCAAATCTGCAGTTCCTTTCTCTTAGTCATGTCTTGCTCATAAATAAATGACAGCTTTTCCAAAATCCGCAGCTCTTTGTTGGCAAAATGTGCTTTGAATCAAAGAACCGTGTTTTCTTCCAGTCCAAAAAACACTCAGCTGGAGCTGTTTCCCCCGCCTGCCCCCACTTCTCATATTTCCAAATCTATTTTCTCCCCTTCTGCATTTGTTTTATTTCCTGGAATTATTTTTCTTGCCTCCCCACCCTTCAGCTTTGATTACAGGCTGCTGCAGTTTGCTTCCTTCGAGTGCCCCACACAGACGAAATAATTTAGTTTTGCTACTTGCTCTGAGAAGCACAGTACATTAAGTGTGAGACATGACTAGGCCGGTGCCAAACACAATTTCTTGCAGAGAGGAAGTGCAGGAGCCTTTATTTGAAGAGTTATTTATGTATTGAATTGATTTAAATAGAGCATCCACTGTGGCAAACACAGTGTCCCAAAACTGCTTTATGAATACATTCAGGTCTCTGGGAAGTAACAAGGATTTCTCTCTCCTGTCAACTCTCACGTTTTTCAGCCAGAAACTTATTCTTATGAGTGACATCTCAGAGAGGCACCTTAACTGCTTCTGCAAGCAGGAGATCTCAGTGATTAAAGCTAAGTGGCAAACTGCCTATCATTATGATGGACGGTGTTTGGAAGAAGGGAAGACCTGTATACTAGGAGACTGTTGTGATGTGTATTTGCGCCCACTGTGCATATATGATAAGAGAGGCTAGAGAGAAGGGGGGCCAAGAGGCAGTGATGAAGAAACCAGGCTGGAGAAGAAGCAAGGGTTCTCATCTACCTTCTGGTCTCCCAGAACCAGAAGCGGTGTGAAGAGGTTGGAGCAGAGACAGATATGGCAACGAAGTCTCAGAAGGGGAGAATTTGAAAGGTGACGCTTTGTCCTGGATCTTAGACAAGTCAATGAAAAATTCACACTCAAAAACTTTGGGGTGCTCCTATAAAAAACTTTTGGGGTGTCCTGGTTTTGAAATATGGCAACCCTAACTTAGGGAACTGTGGATAGGAGGGGACCTTCAGTCCCCACAACTGCCTCATAAGGGCAAGATCTACCGGGATGAGTTGCTGTGTTCACTAGGCTTGGCCTCCTGAGTTGACTTTGTTTCCTTGAATAAAGAGATAACTTCACTGACACCATATGATTTATTGCTGACCTGCTCTTGGTTACTGCTTCTGACACCTGCTCACTTTTCACCCCCTTTTTAATGCTTTTTGTTTTATTTTTTGCCAAATGTGTAAAACAATGCGTACAAGTTAAATGTACATAAGTTTGAGTTAGGCCTTGCAAGGATAAAATTTTAACAGAATGATAAACAATGTAGAGAGCTAAGTTGCAACCAGGAGTGACCTGTTATGTTTGGGGTGGCGTCTCTTTCTATGTTAAATGAACATGGAAGCAAATGAATATATTTCAACACAAATACCTCAAGTCAGACTAGGCTGTAAGATGCAGTCAGATCGGCTCATCTGCTGCCGCTTCTCTAAGAGATGACATTAAGCCAGCTGCAGAGGCTGATTACCCATTTGGCAAAGATGATTTGGTAATTAAAGCTGAGATTAATTAACTCATCAGGAGAAAATGGGGACAGCTAAAGCACTTCTACCAGGTATGCTTCTAGCAGGCTCTGGGTGGCATTTGTGAGGAGCCATTGAGTGAGGAGTTATAGCAAGTCAACATGCTGGCTTGCCCTTTTCCAAACTGCATTAACTTAAAAGATGAGGAAAATATGCATTGCTACAGTTTTGTGGGCCACATTTTCAAATGGTGTGGTCTCACTTGAAATTAAATCAGAGAGGGGCCATAGCTCAGTGGTCAGGCGGAGGACTTGTAGATGATTGACTGAGCAAATTCAAAGAGTGCTCACTAACAGATTCTCATCACACTGGTGGGTAGGGGGTGACAGGTGACAAGTGAGGTGCCACAGGGTTCTCTCCTGGCCCATTGTTGTTCACCATCTTTATAAATGACTTTGTTGAAGGTGAGGCGGTGCTCATCACATTTGTAGAAGACATGAAACTGGGTGGGGTAGCCAATGAGGAATAACCAGCTGCACACATACAAGATGAGGGACACCTGGATTGCTATTAGTACATGGGGAAAGGATCTAAGAGTCTTAAAAATGCACAGATTTAACATGAGTCAACAGTGTGAGGCAGCAGCAGCAAAAAGAAGCTCAAAAAAGCTAATACTACTCTAGGCTGCATCAACAGAAGAGTAGTATCCCGATCAAGAGAAGTCATAGTCTTGCTCTGTTCTGCATTGATCAGACCACATCTGGAGTACTGTGCTCAGTTCTGGGTGCCACAATTTAAGAAGGATATTGACAAGCTGGACTATGTGCAGAGGAGGGTGACCATGATGCTCAAGGGTCTGGAAACCAAGCCTTATGAAGAACGGTTGAGGGAGTTTGGTATGTTTAGCTTGGTAAAGAGGAGATATAACAGCCATCTTCAAATATTTAAAGGGTTGTCACATAGAGGGTGGGAGGGTGGATCAAACTTGTTTTCTTCTGCTCTGGAAGGTAGGACATGAACCAATAGATTCAGGTTACAAGAAAGGAGATTACGACTAAACATCAGGAGGAACTTTCTGACAATAAGAGCTGTTCAACAGTGAAACAGACTTCCACAAGAGGTGGTTCCTTGGATGTTTTTGGGCAGAGGTTGGGTGGCCATCTGTCATGGATACTTTAGTTGAGTTTCCTGCATCCTACAATTTTGTGATTCTATTATTTGCAAGCAGGAGGTTGCAGGTCTGAATGCCTAACACCTACTGTTAAAGAAAATATGGATCAAGTACCATGTGTTTGGGAAAACTTTTCAGCTAGATGACCACCTTCCCTTCTGGGCAGCCAACCAAAGACTATATGCCAGTGACAAAAGTGAGCAGAGCAATGAATGTGAATATTACATTTATGCAGTTGGCTGGTTTCTATTCATACTCCCTCACTCAAAAGTAAGTGGTATTTATTTTAATGGGGCTTTCTCCCAAGTATATGGGTAGTACAGGACTGTAGCCTAAGATATGATATAAACAAACGCAGCTATATTTCATCCTTGCTAATCATTATACAGCACCCAAATGTTTCCTTGTGTACTTGGTATCTTCCACTCTCCCAGCTTGAGGATATTGGCATTTAAGGAAAGAAAGCTATTTCACTGTGATAGCAAATCAAGGCTTCATCTACTGTAAACATTTGCTGTATATTAAAACATTGCATTGTTCAGACCATTGCTTTCAGTGTGATTAGTTAGTTTAAAATGGCTGTTGGTGGTGATTTTCTGTTTGGAGGAGGTTCAGAGGAGTAAAATTCTGTATCTGATTTATAACTCTTAAAAGTGAAGGTTGGTCTGCAATAAAGATTGCCCGGCCCATCCAGCAATGGGGTATTGGCTTCCTGGTGAATTATGACTTTATTATCTACAGCTACACACAAAAAAGCAGAGTCAGTATGCATCATTTCATGTCTGTGTGACATAGTTTATTTGTGTTCCAGTAGGCTGCAGTACCAAAGTTAAGTAACTGATAGGCTGTCACGGCTTCAATGAGCTTCACTAATTCCCATCTTCCAGCACAACCACTCCTATTTTCTTGGATTGTGCTTCCTTGTCATGAAGAAGTATGGGGTGATTTGGTGTACCAGATAGGCAAGCCTTTTCTTCCTTTCCCAGAAGAAAGTAGAAAGCTCCCTTGGCTGGATAAGTTCAGACAATATTTAGTTAGTTGTTTTGTTGCCAGTTTAGATGACTGTTCAGCTTGGATTTTTTATTTTATTTTAATAGGGATAAAAAAGATTAGGAAGATTCTTCTGTAAACACCTGTCTGTACTGGTAGATCTCCTTCATGACTATTTAATGCTTTCATTTATCACATTTATATCTTGCCTTTTTTAAAAAAAAAGTGTTGAAACCCGTTTATATGATTCCCTTCACAACAACCCTGTGAAGTAGGCTAGGCTAACAGACAGTGACCAGACAAAGGGCATGCAAGGAGGTACTGTACCCTTCATAATATCAAGATGCATATGGAGAGACACCACATTCATTCACTCACGTAAACAAAATACTTGGTGCTAAAATCCTATACTCTGCAGTGTTTCACAATTTGCCTTCTGACATGCAGCCCTTTCCACACCGTCCTTGAAAAAGAAGCACAGGGCTTGAAAAAGTGACTTTCTTACCTCACTGACTGATCTTTTAACATTTCTACAATCCCATCTCCAGACTGTCAATTGAAAATAGAAAGTTGGATTTAATTTATTTTGTTAGGATCCAGTAGAAAGTGGCTCCAGTATATATGCTTTGAAAGGTCATATTACTTGTTCATGTTAATACATAGCTCATGCATTCCCATATACTTTATACTCTCATTTGAGAATCCATTGAGCAAGTCTCTAGTCCTCATAAAAATGGAGTAGAAACAAAGAGACGATGAAAGGGATAGCTTTTAATCATCGTTTTTATCATCGTTTTGATCATCGTTTTGATATTTCCCTTTCAGGAATATAAGTTTCACTACAGAAACCATGAAATCATGCTAACGGCTCCGCCAGCTTCAGTGAGGTAGATGCCAGTCTCACAGACACTTAGTGGTCCTTGATTATCCAAACCACCACTACTTCTTCTTCTTCTTCTTCTTCCAGGCATCTACTCTTGATAAATCATTTTGTTCCTGTATTGTCTTTGGGCGAGTGACAGAGAGGATTGTTGACACAAGAAGTCAAATTATAGAAAACACGGGGCATTTTGGTAAGTCTCCATCTGCACTACACGCAGGAAGCAGTATCATCATACTTTCCAACTTTTGGAAACCCAAAACCAGAACTCACATCTTTCAGGAGGCACTTCTGGGTGAGTCACCTGACCTGCACTTTTTGGGGGAGGTGAGATCTTGCATGGCACCCAAAAACACATTTTTTGGCACCACGCAAGAGCACAGCCACCGCAAAACTGCTTGGGGGGGGGCAAAAGTGCAGTGTGAGACCATGGCACTCAAAATGGCCACTGTAATCTTGCACAAGAAAACAGGATGTCCCTTTTTTTTCTAGGGCACTTGTATCATGTCTCTTTAAACAGGCATGGCTTCTCTTAGAGAATCCTGGGAACTGTAGTTGATTAAGAATGCCGAGAATTATTAGGCAACTCTGATTCACAAGGAAACTCACAGACCTATAGTCTCCAAAGTACCTTGGGAATCAACTTAATAGTCCTACATGGGTCCCTCTGAATGTAATGGTCAGTGTGTGTTGGACTGTGTGTTGAGCATCTTGACAGCTATTGTTAGATGTGCAACACATCAATATTTCTGATGCAACAGTGTCAAAACATTCATCATTTTTTGCTAGACCACAATCCCTTCGACCCCAACCACAAAGGCTTGGTAAATATTTTCAGTGGAATATTGGATAGCAAGGAAAATGTGAATGATGAAACAGAAGAGATAGGAAAGACCACTTAACAGTCTGGTTCCCTCCACCAATAGTGTGACAATGAGAAAATTGCAGCAAGCTATTACAATCAAAGTGTTAACAGAAGGTGTCTGTCACAAACAAAGCTCACCACATAGATACATACTCGTTCAGACAGAAAATGCTGTTGCTTCTTTCAGCAGACAGAGTTCCAGGGATCAATATAATATTTTCAGCATGAGCTATGCAAGTTGCCACCAACTGTGCTTGATTCAGACACAAGCTAATGAGAAGGAGTGACAAGCCCATTCTAATCACTGGGAAGGTAGAGCCGCTCAGGAAGGAAGACTATTATGCTACCTAATATCATCAAAGTGGAGTTGGTAGGATGGACCTTTAGAATGAGTCATAAAAGCAGAAGCAATCCTTCAAAGAATTGGGTTTGATGGGGCTTAAGCATGGGTAGACAAACTAAGGCCTGGGGGCTGGATCTGACCCAATCGCCTTCTCAATCCAGCCTGCAGACGGTCCAGGAATCAGTGTTATTTTACATGAGTAGAATGTGTGCTTTTATTTAAAAAGCATCTCTGGGTTATTTGTGGGGCATAGGTATTTGTTAATATTTTTTTCCAAAATATAGTCTGCCCCCCCCCACAAGGTCTGAGGGACAGTGGACCGGCCCCCTGCTGAAAATGTTTGCTGACCCCTGGGCTTAAGAAATGAAGGATAGCATATGAGAACAAACACAAACTATCTTAATGAGCGAGCTCAGCTCCTCGCAATGCATTTGCTCATTAAGGCTGCATACAAACAGGACCTTCTTTTATGAGTTCCCCATTGTGCCCTTGTGCAATTCATATTGACAGAGGGAAGTGCACATTGATTTATGATGGGTCACAGAAGATGCCTTCCCTGCAGTCCATGTGCTGAACCTGGTCAGACTGGTAATTAACTCTTGCTTCAGTTCTAGCAATGGAACAGACGTCTCTGGCTCTGCCAAACCCGAGGGCAGCAGGCTAGCTTAGGGAACAGAAGGCTGGTTTGATTTCATTTGATTATTTAATTTCTACCCCACTTAATATATTAAAGGTATCTCCAAATGGTGTGCAAAAAACTGAACTAACAACAGACGACTTAAACAAATTATTACAAAGTACAGTTATTTATAAAAATGTTACATCACTACAAAATTGCTAATATATAAAAATCAGTATCAACTCAGGCATACCCTCCCTCTCAGCCTTCGGGTTCTTGCTCAGGATCCAACATTTGTGACTCATGCTTTCTAGGCACAGAGAAAAGTGGCTAAGCCCTAGACAACACAGCCAGCCAGCAAGAAGAAAGCATGGCAGCCACTAGGGCAACAAGGATAGGAATGGCAAAAATGAAGTACCTGACTGCAGAGACTTTCTAGTGGCACCCAGGAACATGTTTATGATTTCAGAATGCAAGATATATTTACTATAAGATACACTTTCCTTCCTCAACGTGGTTTTGGACTACAACTCCCATCAGCCTCAGCCACCATCTGGAAGGCCCCAGGCTAAGAAAGGCTGAGATATGTAAAGGTGTTACGTGACTCATGCTATAACTCGTTACAGTGGAACCTTGGTTGTCAAACACTTCGGAAGCCAAACAATTTGGAACTCGAAAGCCGACAACCCGGAAGTGAATGCTTCCATTTTTGAACGTGCCTCGGAAGTCGAACAGCTTCTGAGGTGCATTTCTCCATTTTAAAAAAAGAAATTTGCTGACCTGCAATTGTGCCTCAGTTGTTGAAAGTTTCAGAAGTCAAACGGTCTTCTGGAATGGATTACTTTGAACAACTGAGGTTCCACTGTATAGTGGTGCCCCGCAAGACGAATGCCTCGCAAGACGGAAAACCCGCTAGACGAAAGGGTTTTCCGTTTTTGAGTTGCTTCGCAGGACGAATTTCCCTATGGGCTTGCTTCGCAAGACGAAAATGTCTTGCAAGTCTTGAGATTTTTTTCGCTTCCCCCCCCCCCCTTATCTAATCTGCTAAGCCTTTAATAGCCTTTAATAGCCTTTTAGCAGCTAATCCGCTAAGCCTTTAAGCCTTTAATAGCCGCTAAACCGCTAATAGCGCTAATCCGTTAAGCCGCTAATAGGGTTGCTTCGCAAGACGAAAAAACCGCTAGACGAAGACTCTCGCGGAACGGATTAATTTCGTCTTGCGAGGCACCGCTGTATAGCGGTTCTTTTGGAATTGCTATAATAATTCCAGAACTTCTGGAATCATCTGGTGTGTGTTGTAACATTCCAAATTGTATTTGTTTCTTTTTAAAATCCATTGAAAAAAATCCAATTTATATCACCCTTATGATAAAAGTGTCTCTCTTCCCTTTCTCTCTCCCTTTTTTAAATAATAAAAAAAAAAACCAACACTGTTTATCACCCAAGTGTAAAATGCGAACTATAAAAACAGCCCCAGACAAATTTCCCCTTACTTTGCATAGTTTTCTGGAAGCAGTATGGAAGGGACTTTGATCTGAAAAAAGCAATCAAAAGGAATAAAATAAAGGTTTGTTCAAACTGACATTGTGAGCTCTGAGGCAATATATAGGGAAAACATGATTAAATTTTAAATGGAATAGAAAGACAGAGGAAAGCATGGGAAAGTTTAGTACAAAAACAACTTGCCCTGCCCCGTGAACCTCCACTTGAGGTAGGCTGTGCCTGCCTCAGTTCTCCTCTCTGTGATTATGCAAACATAGAATCATAGAACTGTAGAGTTGGAAGGGACTCCGAGGGTCATCTAGTCCAACCCTCTGCAATGCAGGAAACTCAGTTAAGGCATCTATGAGAGATGGCTATCCAACCTCTGCTTAAAAACCTCCAAGGAAGGAGAATCTACAACCTCCAAAGGAGACCATTTCACTGTCGAACAGCTCTTACTCTCAAACTTATTTATTTATTTCTTTAAAAAAAAATATTAGGAATTTCAACATAACAATTTATCAAAAATACATCATCCTCATTCCCCCCATTTTTCCCCTCCCCCAAAAAGAAAAACCCACTCCCCAGACTTCCCTCAGCTTCTCTCTCTGGTTTCTCAGCACTTGTTATTCTCTGCATATTATAAAACTGTAAATATCCTTTATTATTCTATCAATATATTACCAATAAAAAAATTGTGTATGTTTATTCAAAACCTGCCAAGGAGTCCAGTTCATTTTGTTGTTTCTTTAAGTACTTTGTAAAAACTCCTTTTTTGTAGCCTGAATCCATTGGTTCGGGGCCTACCCTCCAGAACTGAAATTGTCCCCTATCCCTATGGTGAGATGGTAAAATAGTAATATTGCGTGAAATGAGTCTAGAAAGGAGAAAGGCTTTGATTTCTAGGTTGCAATTCCATTTCAATGGGTTTTTTTTTGCATTATTATTTGTGTGTGTGTGTTTTAAAGTGTGACTGCCAACTGGCCAAAGGCGGGGGGGGGGGAGTCATAGTATATCAGGATTGGCAAGCAATATTTTATGTATCAAACAATATTTTAAAACGCACATTGAACCATAGCGCTGAGTCATCAGGTGATAGGGTAATGAAACCTCTCTCCCTTCTTCTTGCACTGCCACAAGAGCAATGAAGGGAAGAGGGAGGAGCCTTGGAGGTGAATGGAAATGAGGCTGGGGGAAAGGGCTTGCCCCTCTCTGCCTTGGATTAAAAGTGAATCCAGTGAAGAACATTTGCCTTCTATTTATGTGCATGCTGAGATTCATATTTCTGAGCCAGGAAACATGAAATTTGGCAAGACCGCAGGAGACATCTCACCATAAGCGTACACTGAGAAAAAGAAACACCTCGTCAAACTTAGCGTTGAATGATACAGCTAGCAGCGAGTCTCCAACACTTCAGAGAGAGGTCTTTCCTTTCCATATCCTGGAAAGAACATAATGACGGAAAAATAGCCTTCTGGATCAGGCCAATGGGCCCATCTAGTCCAGCATCCTGATCTCACAGTGGCCAGTCAGATGCCCGTGGGAAACCAGGGAGCAGAATATGAGCACAAGAGCCCTCTCCCTTCCTGTTGCTTCCAGCAACTGCGTACCCAGCCAACTGCCCCAGAAAAAATGGGACATCCCGTTGTTTCTCCTGAGAGGATAGCGGCCAAATTGACCACTGCAGTGCCCTGTAGTTTTCGGCCTCACTCTCTCTTGGGGCAACAATCTTGCATGGCTCCCCAAAAGCCTTTTTTGTGGGGGACATGATCTCATGTAGGTCACATGACTCAGGTGGGGGTGTTGCCAGAGAAGACGGTGTCCTGATTTTGGGCAGCTTCGTATTGGAGGGTATGCAACTGGCATTTGGAAGCATCACTGCCTCCATTTGTGAAGGTAGGGAGCATAGCCATTGTGACTAGTAAAGGTAAGGTAAAGGACCCCTGGAGAGTTAAGTCCAGTCAAAGGCAACTATGGGGTGCGGCGCTCATCTAGCTTTCAGGCCAAGGGAGCCGGTGTTTGCCCACAAACAGCTTTCCAGGTCATGTGGCCAGCATGACTAAACCACTTCTGCTGCAACGGAACACCGTGACAGAAGCCAGAGCGCATGGAAATGCCATTTACCTTCCCACTGCAGTGGTACCTATTTATCTACTTGCACTGGTATGCTTTTGAAGTGCTAGGTTGGCAGGAGCTGGGACAGAACAATGGGAGCTCACTCTGTCATGGGGACTGAAGCGCTGACCTTCTGATCAGCAAGCCCAAGAGGCCTAGTGGTTTAGACCACAGCGCCATTTGTGTCCCATGCAAGTAGCTATTGATAGACCTTTCCTCCACATATTTTTCTAATCCTCTTTTAAAGCCGTTCAAGTTGGTAGCCATCACTGCCCACATGGTAAATATCCTTCTTGAGATTAGGTGACCAGAACTGTACACAGTACTCCAGACATGGTTGTACCATTGAATTGTATAACAGCATTATGATTTGGACAGTTTTATTTTCAATTCCTTTCCTAATGCTCCCTAGAGTGGAATTTGCCTTCTTCACAGCCACCCCACCCTGGGTTGACATCTTCATCAAGCTATCTGCTATGACCCCGAGGTCTGTCCCCTCCAGCTCAGACTCCATGTCCGTGTCTATGTGAAATTAAGATGTTTTGCTCCAACGTGCATCACTTTACACTTGTTGACTTTCCTTTTATGTAGGAATAGTAATGGAGAAATAGTATTGCTGCATCTTAAATCAGCTGAAGGAACAGAAACGGGCAGAAAATCCAAGCAATCAACTGTGAGTGGAGGGGGTGTCCTATCTGCTATCCTTGAGACCTCCTGGGAAACCTATCAAAACCTGCTGTCAGCTGGAACTGGGTGCGAAGAGGGCAGCTGGCTGTAGAACAGGACACAGCTGTGGGCAGTTTGAGGAAGCTGCATCAACCTTGGTGCCTGCCCATCAAAGCAAGTCTGGAGGGAGAGACTAGGGTGACGTTTGCAGGCTCCAGAAACCCCCTTCCTTATGATATTTTCTGGGTGAGCTGTGAGTTTGTTTGGGCACTGGGAGGCTGAGAAGAGAGGTGTGTCAGAAAGAATTGATATTGGTCTATAGTAATTTTGTATTAATGGAGCATTTGAATATGCAACGGTTTGGATTTTTGTAACATCTGCTGCTGTTTAAGTTGCCTGTTGCTGCTGCTTTCGGAGATATTTTTATATATTAAGCAATGTTCCAAATAAGCCGCACAGTCTGCTGGACTTGGGTTAGATATGAGCAGCCCTTCTGGCGGCGTGATCCAATGAGAGCAAGGGAGAGAAAATCTTTGGCAGTAAAACTGCCTTATCCAGAGCTGGCAAGGGCAGAAAGTGGGGGCCAGCTGGAGATTTTAAAAAAGAAGATGAAGGATTAGTGTACATTTCCCTCCATCCCAGCAGTAGACCTGGGAAATGGAAGGGCTTTATACCCAGCAGATCCAAAGCCTTCGTCAGTCCCCCTCAACACATCCCCGGAAAATGTCAGTTGGGCCTTTTCTGCCCTCAGAGTATCAATGGCAGGTGGGTGATGCCCCCCAAAAAGAGGGGATGAAAAAATATTTTCTTATCCAAGATTTATTAGTTTACAAAAATAAGTTCATTGTCTCTTTTTTCAAGTTGTGTTTTCTACAGATCAGTGATAGTTGTTGTGAGACATCAGTGTTGCGTGCAGTATTAGGTTGGCAGGAAAAGAGGGGGGAAGAGGGGGAGGGAGGGCGTGGGTTGGCAATGCTTCTATTCTTCTACTTAGTGTATGTGTAGGGTTTTGTGTCAGCGTCACTTGTGTGGGTTTTCTTTCTATTCGCTTGCTATATTTTCTTGGTGGTAAGAGAGGTTGGGGGTGGCCTAGGGTGTGGTTGGTTGTCTTTAGTTGGCTGTAGTGAGATGTGCCTGTGGATGTTGGGGGGGGGGGTTGGGTCAGGTTAGCCAGATCGATTCATATGTAGTTGGTGGATTCTTGTTGTTGTCGTGTTGGGCTGGGCTCGGAAACCAATGTCCCCACTGTGGAAGGACATGTGGATCCAGAATTGGCCTCCACAGTCACTTATGGACTCATTGTTAAAACCGTGTTTATGGAAGACAATCTTACTCACCTACGAGTGATCGCCAAAGAAGAAAGAAAGAAAGAAAGAAAGAAAGAAAGAAAGAACATACCGGAGTGAAGGTGTCTTCTTTTATTTGTCCCCGTGTCAGTTTCAGTTTATTGGTTAGTTTTTCTGGTAAGGCTGTTTCCCATACTATTTGATACCATTGGTCCATGTTTACTCCTGACAGGTCCCTCCGTTGTCTGGCTATGATGCTTCTGGCTGCTGAGAGTAGGCGGGTTATGAGCTCTTT